CGACATAAGGCAACGGATATGGACTAACGTTCGCAATCGTTCGAACGAACCCCGAGATTTTTCAAATATTATCACGTACAATAATTACGACTTTAAGGAAATCTACCCCCAACGAGTGACTCAAAATTCTGCAAAAATTCTATCAAGTATTGCCAAGATGTATTTACTATTTGCTACATAATTTCTCTAGAATCTCATATTTACGAGTCGATTTAACCAAACACGAAATTAGGGAGGATCTTTATCGGGATAGTTGTTGCTTCGAAAAATACAGTCGCAGAATATAATTGTTTTCTTCCTCTACCGAGTGACCAAAAATTTCGAGAAAATTATATCAAGTAGAGCAAAGATTCCTCACTCTATTTGTTCCTAGTTTTATTTAAATATTCCACGTGGTAATAAAGAAAGACAATTACAAAGTTGAGGCTCTCTCGCAATAGAAGATAAAGATCCGAAAGGTCTGAATGGTATTTTAGTGAAAGAAGCATGGGCATATAAACAAGATAGATCGTGTGATCTTTATCGAGAATGTGTCTCCGCTGGTCTATTACAACGAAGCCACCGAGATCTCCATGTCGTTCTTGTAAACCTCTCGCAGTATCCCGGTAAAAAGAGTCGAATGTATTCGACCCGATTTGACGATGCGTGCTCGAGGATAAAAATGAAAATTTCTAGGAAGCGATATCTGTGGAGAGCTCGCAAACCCGGAGCATCGTCGCCTGAATCTACATCGATAATGCGTCGTCGCTCGGCTCACGACGATGTACACGATACGCGACGGTCGTGTATAAATAATGCATCATCGGCGCCGTTCGAGAGGAACAGGCCACAAATATCCATGAAACTTCGATGGCAACGATGACCCTCGATGGCCCCCGTGGATCGACCCCTCTTCTATACCGAACCAAGTCCGAGTTCGACTCCTTCGAGTTTACCCCCCTGTTATACGTTCGAATCTGGAACTAGGAGGCCTTTGTAAACACGCTGCTAACAATACACTGGGTTAGTGGAACGGTCATTGTCTGAATTTCCAATTCGTTGTGCGCATCGGAATATTTCAAAGGCAGTTTACACGAGGAGCAGTTACAGTTTTCCACGGAACCGGTGTCATCGACGGAAACGCGATCATACCACCTACATTCTGTTGCTTAGAAACCGTTCCCGTTACTACCCCATTGTTACTAGGGACATTTTCGTCACAGTGATGGTGTTAGACGGTTAGTCAGAATTTTTAATAAACGTTAATTTAGCGAACGACTGCACGTGTCGCACTCCAATCAGGGGATGTTTCATCCGAGAGAATTCGCTCGGAAAGTAACCGATGTCCGGGACAGCGAAAAGAGAATCGCTGATCGATTTATCGGTGTTTTCCTGTAAAGCGGACCATTACACAGGCTCCGCAACGTTCGCCTACTTAAATTAATCTTTAACCTGCGAGGCAGTTGTTAATGCATATCTTATTCTCTGCGCAGCGCCACGGCTAATATAGCGAAATAAATAACGTCGTTAAAACATTTCAAATAATTCCGTGTGCCGTCGATGCACGTCATCGATCCCTGAACGTCAAGGCATTTCTAGCGATAATCTACGTCGTTAGCGATAATGAGTTTGTCGCAAACGGCTTACGATAATGATAAAACCTGCCATTTCCAGAACAGAAGAATTCCTTCTCCAACGACACGAACCGTTCGAAAGAATTGTAAGAACGTTCCCGTTTGGCGTTCCAATGACAGAATAAACACGAAACAAATAGAACAATGGTGCTCGTGATTGTTGGAGCGAGAGCCTCGGGCCAAGTAAATGCCTACGAGTTGATAATCAACGGTGCTCGTGACTCATCGGTTCGGTGTCTCTGTTGGCACACGAACCTTCCTCGTAAACAAGCGCATTTACATTTCTGGCTGCGCGTACGTGTACGTGGACATTTTCCATGCGCGCATCGCAAATATTAATTACCTCGCCGTCTATCAACGCTAAAGCGTATCGCTTTTAATTCAATTACGATTGTCAAAATATTGCGAAATTATTTGCCTTCGTTCGTGGGCGACGCGAAAAGACAGAACGGGATTATTGAAAAAAAAAAGAAATGATTCAACATTTCGCGTTTTTCCGACGGTTATGTAAACCCGTCGACCACGCTATCGTGCCTGATATTTACTCCGTTGAATAAATTATCCGTGTACACGATTAGCGAGTGCGCGGCTGTCGCGTCGGAGTTAACACCGAAATAAATCTATTCGCGAGCAGTATATTTCTCGAGGCTGCTAGAATTCTCCCTTTTCAACTCGCCGGGCCTCGCGCGGAACCGACGAAAATTGCTCTCGAAGAACGAACATTGTTTTACTAATATACAGTATCGAATTCTCCGTGAAGGCCTTGCGCAATCCGGTATAATGGGCAATGTTCTACAACGTGTCGCGTGTACCGTGCGGGTGGTCGTGTCGATATCTTGGCTTCCGATCGCGTCGATCTTCGTGGATCATGCTCGACTGCGTAACTCGAGACAGAAATTCGATAAGCGATTTAGAATAGAATATCTAACGGTGCTTTCTCGATTCTTCCAATTAAGCTTTAATTATCTGACTAATCTCTTTGGTCATCCGATCTCTCAAGGATCTTCCTTGGAACTCCGTGACTATGCAGATAATTAATCACCTGCACTAATCATGAAAACATAAACTTCCGGATAATAGAACATTTGCTCCTGCTTTTTCGGCTGTAATAATTTCTTAGAAGAGAGATACAAAATTACATAAACAGAATAACAGAACTTTATTCCGACTTAAAAGAAAGGAATAACATTCAAACTTGTTGCATTATTTTAATTAAATCTCTATGACGAGCGAGGCTCGTTAACCCTAGAAAGATAACCATATGACAACGTACGTAAAAGATAACCATACGCTTCAGAGGCGCATGCTTTTCTAAGGCGTCAATTTTATACTAACAATGGATATTTATTTAAGTTAATCTAGTCATTTTAAAGGTTTGGCATTATTGTAAAAATAAAATGCATTTATATTATATTTTTTTATATTTTAAGTAATTTTAAACTTAAATCACTAGACCTCTATGAAAAATTAACAAAAATCAACAGTCTTCGCAGGCGTCTCTGCGACGTAGGTTATCTTTCTCGGGTTAAAATCTGACAAGGAATTAATCTTCATTGATTTATATAGTAAATCAATGTGTATGCGAATTGTCTTAGATGCGGTTAGCTATGTATCAAAAACATGTTCGAACAATAGCGAATTCAGATATCACAGTTTCGGGTAATAGAGGATAATCCTACTTGCAGCAAACTTACAGCAACGGAATGTAGAGAAAGGAACTATGCTATTTGTAATACATCGAACAAACGGTCGAGCAAAATTCTGCTAGCTGCAACCCGATCTAAGAACGTTTCGCGACCCGTATCGTTGCTAAAGGGTCAACCGACCCCAGAAAGGATAAACCCAAGATGAATAATTTGAAGTGAGTGTTGATAACAAAATAATTTTAATGTCAAACAATGACAGCGGTTTGTTTACAAGGTTTCCGTTGTACCTCGTTTGATTTTCTTTTCATGCGGGTTACGTATGAATTTGGTCTGCGCCAATCAGAGGACAGAGTACCACATGTGATCGTTACCATCCGCGTTAGGCCACATGTTTCGATGTATAATTACGTACTAAAGAAATAAGTTAACCCTTCGCACTCGAGTGGTGACTCCGAGGCACTGCTAAAATTGTTACACCACGTTCCAAGATAATTTTTATATTATCAAAGAACCGTTCATCGCCTTAATCACAGCTGATGAGGTAAAAATGCGGTAACAACGTGAGCACCTCGTGGTCCCTCGGGAGAACCGCCGGTCACTGATCCAGTCGCAGATCCACAGATCCACCGATCAATCGGCATGAAAAATGCACCTTGTCATATAAAATGGAAATACTACAAGTCAGAAAAGTTCATTGAAATTCACAGTTAAAACGACTTCGAGTGCAAAGGGTTAAACTACAGAAATCGTAACTTGGACCTTGCATCTCGTCGAACCTTGACCTCTCCTATCTCGGTGAACACGAGTAACAGAATCCCTTAGGACCGTGAACTTTAAACCGACAACTTTAAAAAGATTGAATTCTCTGCGATGTGTGAAGTAAAATTGTGAATTTATGATTTTTGCAACATTGTGCCCGAAAATGGAATTCCGCTAAAAACCTGGAAAATCCTTGTGCGATTTCAAAGTTACATCAAATCACGGAGAGTTAAAATGATCAAAAGTTAAAATACAGTTTTTATCTCATTCCTGGTTCAGACAATAGGATTATTTCGCGCGAAATTCGACACTTTTTAGAGTGCTATTTCCAGTTTTCGTGAAATTTCGGCAAGTATTGTAGATGGGATTTGACAATGATATTGTCGATTTTACAGGAGTTCTAATGAAGTGTCGACTTGTTTTAGATTAAATCATACCTACTGAACTTCCATCCAATGAAAATGAGTTATTCTGCTGATGAAAATGAATGATTGGAAGCTTATAGTAGAAACATAAGGACATCTAATAAAAATAATTTTCATTGGAAGAAGTGAACACGAGTAACAGAATCCCTGAGGACCGTGACGGTCGGATCAACCCTTGAATAAATTCATTGGACCTTGTGAGAGCGATTCGCGGGGGTAAAAGCTACGAATGAAACTAGAAACTGACGTGCGCACGCGAAACTCATAAGCGGAAATTGAACGACGTCTGGTGGCCGAGGAGGAGGAAAGGGAGAAGGACAGGAAAGGTTGCGAAGATCGACGGAAAAAAAATAGGAAGGAAAGAGAAGAGAAGAGACAATGGTAGGGGGGAAGGAAGGGGGCAAGAAGGAAGAAGGAGAGGAGTGGATTGACTCGAACGAAAACAGAAGAGGGGGTGGTGTCGGCGAGACGAAGCGTGGGGAAAGGGAAGAGAGAATAGTCGTGAGTGCACGAAGAAGCACGAAGTGACGGACGAGTGGCGGTGGAAGCTTGAGGCGGACGCCGGTTCTCTCACTTGTTGAGTGTCGAGCGACGAACTGGGTCCTACCGTTCGTTCACAGCGACCGGTAGAGCCGACGGTCGCGTGTTTTTCCCGCGGACGACAGACCGACAGGGCAGGGCACGACACGACACGACACGACACGACACAAGATCGTACGATCGTCGATCCGAGCGTGTGACGCGCGTGCGCTTCCCAGGTACATAGTCATTCCATGATCGCTGCGAGTGAAGTGCGTGCGTCGCATCGGCACAGTGCTGACCGATTGATCGGTGGATCTGTGGATCTGCGACTGGATCAGTGACCGGCGGTTCTCCCGAGGGACCACGAGGTGCTCACGTTGTTACCGCATTTTTACCTCGTCAGCTGTGATTAAGGCGATGAACGGTTCTTTGATCTCCCATCGATTTTCAAGTACTGCGATTCCACCGATCGATCGATACGTCGATCGTCTGCCGACGGTGATCCGTCGATGGGTCCGGTGATCTACAAATCGCGGTATCGATGGAACCAACCGGACCAACCGGGTACCAAGCTGCCAGAGGGTACCTCGTTACCGAATTGTTGTTGTCGCGATTGTTCCGACCGTTGCATAATGTGATTACATAAGACGAAGTTGATTCCGCAGATTCAGTACAGAAAAACGCGAGATCGAACAGAGAGCGTGGCATTTCTATTTCGATTTTGGTGAGGTGTTTTGGAGTATCTAGAGTTTAACGGGAAAATATGCGGGAAAGTGTGAGAACTGAGACGATCGTTTGGTACATCGACTAGCCGACGGTTTTGCTAGTGGTTGCTGTGCAATTTTGTCGTCGCGACAGTAAACGAGACGCATCCGATAACGCGAATCGATAAGCACGCGACTACGGCCTCGCGGTTCGAATTTCGCGCGCCAAAGTGCACGTGTGCCGAAGAGCGACGATGGCGATGAAGAGCCGGAAACAGTACACCGGGCCCGGCTTCGGATCAAAGAGTCATTATCCTGCGATCAGTCAGGCGTACTGGGCACCGCAGCCGCAAAATGTACCATATTCTGTTCCAGGTATTGTAACACGGACATTGCAATTAAAACGTTGTTTCGCGGACGAGTTGCGTAATTCGAGGATCACCTTAATCCGTAAATTCGATGGTACCGGAAGCGCTAGTAGACGTGGCCGACGATTGGAAAATTATTTGTTATCGATAATAATTCAATTATCCCGACAGCGTGGGGCAGAGTGGTAATGAATGTTCGGTGGTTGTTCGTATAAACGATGGTTAAATTTAGTAACAACAATCTAAAAATATACATTTTCATTTTTATGCAAGCTATTAATATTGTCCTTTATTTTTACACAGATTGTTGACTCATGTTATTATTTTTTATTGAGTTACGTAAATAATTTGTCGGCTCAATAATTTGAAAATGTAATAAATATTTGTTCCGTGTGACAGTTGTTATAAAAAAGAATGAAAACAGATCAATTTAAAAAAAAAAAAGAAAAACATACGTCACAGATTCAGTTTAAACTCAAAACAAAAACTGTTTTAAATTTCTGTCATTATATTTTTTACATTTTTCAGGCACCATATCGTTAAAAACAATCTGATCTTACGATCATACTAAATAATACTAAATAATAATAGACAGTGGTGACATTCTTCCCGAATGATATCTCTATGTTTTAACTTTATATAAATTGAAAAATATAATCAGAAATAATGCTATTAAAAAAATAACCATTATTTTTTACTTTTTGATGGATATAACAACAAAGCCTTTGGGTAACATGCACAAACGACTGAAATAGAACAGTTATACTGTCTAGTTCCCTCCCGCAAGCTTCGATATCCAACTGAAAACAATGCCTTAATGAATAAACTGTCTAGGAACGAAGATTTTGAATTTGGTACTCTTATCCTCGCCCTACCCTATCGATTGGAAAATTGATTGTTCTGTTATCTATATTAATTCAAGCCGCGTCGTTTAATTAAAAAGATCCTGTCGACAGTAGAAGTTTGAAAGAAGCGTTGCGCTTTTCTAAGACAGAGAATAATGGAGAACTTATTTAGCGCACTCCGAATCTCCTCGACGCGCACGTTGGAGAACTAATCCTCGTTAAGGTTCGTTTGATTTTCGGAGGAAGCTATGCAATCTACGCCGATTAAACGCGTTTACCGCGTTAATTTCAACGGAAAAACCGGATGCACTCGATTCCTTCGGCAAACAGCATCGTAATTGCGAAACCTTCCGAAGGTTTAGTCATACAAGATGCTCGAAGCTCACGTTATACCGATGACTAATCGTTTTACGCGAGCATGTGTCCAGCTGCATCTGTATACGAGCATTGTATGGCTCATCTTTATTGCCGGCAACGAATTATAATTTCAATGTTCTTCTTGAAGACGTGGCTTTTCACGCCTATCTAATGCATCCACGATGGTATCGTTTGCATAATTAGGCGCGTATACATGCATGTACGTCGTAGCGCACCGTTACAACGGAAAAAGTTGTATCAACGTAAACGATTATTTGGCCTCTTAAAACGTAGGCTGTTTATTATACACGTACGCGAAATGAAGTTGCTAGGTACAGATCAGAAATTGATCGTCTAATTAGTTCTGTAGTTCGACACGACAAGCAATCTTGTTCCGATATACATAGTTTCCTATCTCGCCTTAGTATCGGCGGATAATCGATCCAAGGAATCTATAGATCAATCGGTCAAGGTCCGCGCAGTCGCCATTGCAAGGTGGCACGAATACGCAAACATGGTGACCAGCGTCGATAGTTGGTGCTCTCCACCGGTGTCATCGCTTCTACGATTATCAAATAATCGTCAATTTTTTCCGTTGTTTTTTTTTCCTTCCTGTAATAATATTCGGCCATCTGGTCACTATTATGGACAGCTTACATTCTCATTCGTCCATGAGTCATCGCTCCAACAATTATCGAATAATCGATACTTCGCTTTGTTATTATTTATCTTCGAGTTTCAAGTGCTTTCTAATGCTCCGCTGCGGAAAAACAGTTTTCGCAATCGCGTCGAAACGCCGCTTGCTGACCAGCATCGAACGCGTTGTCTCTCGTCTAGGTGTCATCCCTTCGACAGTTATCAGTTGCATTCGTCTCGTTCCATTGTTCCTTTCGTTGTACGCCGGATATATTTTCTAATGTTCTGCGACGCGAACGGAAATTTTTGCGAAGCACAAACCGCGTTCGGGTGTCATTTATCTCCATAATTTAGCGGATCGAGGATCGTATTTTCGAGCACGGTGTGCGCCGCGTATGCAGAGTATGCTTTTGAGCGCAGAATGTTAGCGATCGAGCATCGACTCGTTTCGCTTCTGTACACACTCATTGTTCTGCTGATTTATCGCGTGATATTTCGTCGTAGTCGGGACGCGTGCCGTTGTTAACGGTACCGCGAAGAGTATGCGATTTAGAGGACGATCAGCGATCCATTTTTCCGTGTATCCGAGAGAAGCTACCAGCGTGAAATTAAGGAAGCTCCGCGGCACCGTATCCTTGAAAAATAACATCGGACCGGTGGTAATCAATTTAGTGAGCTAACTAATATACCGAGTTGCGCAACCGTTCGTGTATCGATATTCATAGCCGGTCGACAAAGATTGCCGTGCGGAATATGCGAAAGAAACCGGAGTCCTTGAGTTCTTTTGCACTCTGTTTGACTTGTTCGCGACGTGTTCGCGTCGTCAACCGAACCGAACCGAACCGAACCGAACCGAACGGTGCCGACCAGATAGGTCACGTAGGTATACATTATTGCAAACGTCGCGTATTTTTAAACGGACAGTTATACCGAAGAGGATTGTCTACCAAGGCTGAGCAAGAACTGACACGAATACGTCAACGTGTTATTTCAACCGACTGAATTCTTATCGGTCTGGAATCGACCGGCGCGACGGATCTCATAAAGAAATCAGCGTAATTCGTTGGCAGAGGTTTTCGAGCGCAGGGGGGGGGGGGGATCAACCAGGCTATAAAAGTTCCTGATACCGGCGGCAAATATGGCTGCTACCGAGCTTCCACCGGATACCAGAGAGCTCCCTATTCGATATCTCTTTCGGGACCGACTGTATTACAGTATAAAATAAACCCATTTCAAGATTGGAGTATCATCGATAACCGCTACTGTGTGTCGAGCCTCGAGAAAGTTTCGTCCGGACTGGCCAGAGAACTTTTGCCGCTCGATAATTCATTTGTTTCGCGACCTATGCTACGTGCTCCACACTCGAGAACCGGAATATTTGAGATCTCCCGCGGTAACCGAATATTTCCGGGAATTTCCCGCGATTTACCGACACCCGACACCGTCTCGCAGGTATCTCCTGCGGTCCGCTAACGAGGTCAAGTTAGAAGAAGTGTACATGCACGTATATTCCGCGCCCGACCGTTCGAAACCATGGTCGAGCGCATTAGGAGCATGCAGTCTGTCCGGTATCGACGCGCAACCGCTCGGTTGCTTGCGCAATTCATTAACACGCGTCACCTGACTCGTGTTCGCTGCATTCTGCCATGCCGTTTCGCTGGTTCGCGTCTAACGCGAGGGAGACAGCGCGCACCATCACCTACGCGCGCCAACAGAAGTTTCTCCCTACTTGTCAATGGATCGCGACTCAAACATTTCGAAACTTTCTACAATGGAATTTAACTGGTAAACAATTATGGCGGCTCGATCCACCTGTGACCGTTATCAATAGCACAAGCGTACTAGGAAAAGTCGGAGCGTGATCTGGCGTTTCCAAGGATGCCAAGGTCAACGTTTTCTTGAAGGGAACTTTATAGAGTAGATTGATTATGGGAGCGCGAAATGAGCCATGAGTATAAACTATGTGTCACGACCAGATCGCAGGTTATATCCGTTTATGACAGGAATGGATAGATGAGCTGTGAAATTGTGGGAAACGTTGGAGTAATTTAAAAAATAGTTACAAATACTTAAAAAGCATTTTTGCGGTATTTCCGACTCGATAAACCTCTATTTTAATTTGTTACGCGTAGGCATAGAAATGTTTATATAAATTGAAACCAGGAACTTTAAACCGACAACTTTAAAAAGATTGAATTCTCTGCGATGTGTGAAGTAAAATTGTGAATTCATGATTTTTGCAACATTGTGCCCGAAAATGGAATTCCGCTAAAAACCTGGAAAATCCTTGTGCGATTTCAAAGTTACATCAAATCACGGAGAGTTAAAATGATCAAAAGTTAAAATACAGTTTTTATCTCATTCCTGGTTCAGACAATAGGATTATTTCACGCGAAATTCGACACTTTTTAGAGTGCTATTTCCAGTTTTCGTGAAATTTCGGTATGTATTGTAGATGGGATTTGACAATGATTTGTCGATTTTACAGGAGTTCTAGTGAAGTGTCGACTTGTTTTAGATTAAATCATACCTATTGAACTTCCATCCAATGAAAATGAGTTATTCTGTTGATGAAAATGAATGATTGAAAGCTTATAGTAGAAACATAAGGACATCTAATAAAAATAATTTTCATTGGAAAAAGATATTCTTCATTAATTATAATGGAATTGTTTCGTCTGTTTCAATTGTGTTTTGCACCGAGATTCGCAATCTAGTTATTACAATGTTTACATTCGGAAACTGATATTTCTCTTGTTTTAACGTTAGTACCATCGAAACGAACGATTTTTTACTTTTTCTTTTACAGTTGCTGAGAGATACATAATAAAAACGTTTTCACGAGAAACTCTTTAGTAAATTCAATTATTTTTTAGCGTAAATCGTTCAAGAGTATATCCAATCTTATCATCGTTATAAAAACAATACAGAATATTAGTCGTCTTTTGTACAAAGGTTTATGAACGCGCTCGTACTCGAGAATTCAATTTCATTTAACCAGTGCTTGAATAAATTATTCGATTAACGCAAGAATCGACGTTGCTCCGTGACCATTGTATCAACAAATATTTGTAGCAATTTTACAAGTATCAAACGAATTGGTGAACGACCATTTCGGGGACGCAAGACAAAATTCCGACTTAATAAAACTCAAAGAAGGGCTTTGGAA